AGCGCAGCTCTTGAGGAGGAGGAGTGAAGGGTACTGAGGGGAGGGTAGACCCCTCCCCCTTCTCCTCCTCCCCTCATTCTTTAATATGCTCCGGGGGGGGGTGTCACGTGACTTCGGGGAGGGGGTCACGTGACCTCGGGGAGGCGTGACCTGGGGGTGACCTCAAGGCCACGTGACCCCAAAGGTGACCCCCACGTGACCTTGGGGTCACGTGACCTGGAGGGGTCACGTGACCTCGGGGGTCACGTGACCTCAGAGGGGTCACGTGACCTGGGGGTCACGTGGGGTCACGTGACCTTGAGATGACCTTGGAAGGGGTCACGTGACCTTGGGGGTCACGTGACCTCGGGGGTCACGTGACCTTGGGGAGGCGACCACGTGACCTCGGGGGTCACGTGACCTCCGAGGGGTCACGTGACTTGGGGGTCACGTGGCCTTCAAAGGGTCACGTGGGGTCATCTTGGGGTCACGTGACCTTGAGATGACCTTGGAAGGGGTCACGTGACATCGAGGGGTCACGTGACCTTGAGATGACCTTGGGAGGGGTCACGTGACCTTGGGGGTCACGTGACCTTGGGATGACCTTGGTTACGCCGACGCCGACGCCGACGCCGACGCCGACGGCGACGGCGACGCCAACGCCGACGGCGACGCCGCTCAAGCCGGGAACGGGCCCCTAAGAGCTGCGCTCTAAAAGTTACCGTTTATCTTTGCAATGACGGCGGAGAGCGACTTATGGGAAGTAGCTCAATATAGCTGCTAACTTAGAACACCCGATAATTTCCTAGAATGAACTGTACCTTTCCAGAAGAGCAACGTTCGGTGAAACAAAGAACTGGGCCAGCGGGGTTTGACCTCTTCTCGTATCAGCCACTTGCGCCGCAAACTCAGCCACGCACGCGGTTGTGCTACGATTAAAAACATCAGCACCGCTTTCGTTTTCTTTTTATTTCAATGTTCCAACAGAGCGTACAAGCAATCTTCATTTTTGTCGTCGTGTATGCTATCTGGATCCGGCACTGTTCTAGATTTCTCTTAGCTACAGCATTTGAGAAAGTAAGTCAAGCTTCCGACATCATGATTTTCTTATTGATTTGCTTTTCGCTCGCCACGCCGAGAGGGCTGACTCCCCCTGACATCACTCTGGAAGCTTGTATACAAAATGTATGAAATTAATACCCACCCGCATTAGGGCTAGCGAATATGGTCGGGCTGCGGATCTCGACGAGGCCTCGAGTAGCGCGTCGGAAAGCATATCGGTCGTGTGCACAGAAGGCAAACCAAGCGCTGTATCGGATACTGCGAAAATATTCTCGACGACGACTCGGGCTTGATCTGTCCTGAGCCTGCACTACTGCTGTACGCTTCCGAAAATCAGCAATGGTGCCCGTTCAGTTCAAATAAGCGCTGCGGTCGTCCTATTGTCCTTGCAAACGATGTCCTAGATTCGCTTGCACCCTAGAAACGGATGAAAACGCAGGGTAAAGTGTTCAGCACCAACCGTTTTTCAAAACCTGTTGACCTTGCAGGAAAGAATAGCGGGATCGTTCCAATTTTAATTGACGCCCAAGTACTAGTATTCTGAAGTACGTTTGGTTGTCTGGTGAAGACGTGTCAAGCAAGTTTGCGAGCTTACAGTTGTTTTTGCTTTTCGCATGCATGGTGTACACATGATATTGCACACTTGTATTAACTTCTTGTCCTCAGTGTCTGCCATTACGTTTTATATGAGAATTTGTGTATTACAGATGCGTCATAAGTGTTCAGGACGTGCGTCAAAAGTTTCGTTATAAACTTAATGGGGAAGACCAGGGACATCGAATTGAAATGTTCAATATACTTTTGTTGTTTGAGCGCTTAGTTATGCGGTATGAGAGCTAGCGCCTGCTGATTGATTAAAGTAATCAGTCTTGATTATAGAAGAAAACGAGCTAATCACATTGTTAGGTTGGGACTGGTTTAAATTGTAAAACTCAGGTCAGCTACGTGGGGCCCTCAAATTATGGTTCCCGGAATCCGTCTTCGACTGGCGTGTTTAGAGTTGTATAGCGCCCGCGCATCGAAAAAAAAAAAAAAATCTCCCGAAGTGGCACCACATTGCATCATATCAGCCGGTGTGTCATGCTGTCGGATGTCGTGGTCCTCGCGGCTGATTGTAGGGGCTCCTGCAAAAGTATGGGCGAACAAAAGTGAAGATGTCGTTCAGGCGTCTTAACTAGTAGCTTCTGAAGTTTCCGTGGGATGTCAACTCGAAGTGCGACTTACAGCATCACAGCAGGCGTCTGCCGTACGCGTCTCCGTTGCTGTGGCACCGATAAGCTCACGGCAGGCAACAGTATGACACAAATCTGACGTAACATCCGGTGAGAGTCGAACGATCACAAACGAGGACGCGGTGGACACACCAGTCAAAGACGCGATCCAGGCGCTAAAACTAATTTCTCGAAACGCAGGTGCCAGATCAGAAGCCACCGAAAGGGTAACGTATCAGAATCTCTTAGCATAAAAGCCTGTCTAATGTATTATTTGAGCGCGAACTTTTTTTCTTCTACCTGGGAAGTAGATTTGCTGCAGTGCCGTTCCCTTCCTTCTTTGAGTTACAATGTTCCACTTCTTAGTAGATAGATAGAAAAAAAAAAAAAAAAAAAACTCTCCAGGGTTCGAACGGAACGACTGGGGCTGTCGGTGTGCTTCAATGGCTGCAATGATGGCTGTGGCGAAGACGACCGATTGTCAAAGGAATGAGTGGGGGACGCAATGACTCTTCACTTCGGCAACGCGTCACCTCTTCGAGGCCCTACTGGTTAGCTCGCTTTCTTTGTTAGCACGGTGGTGCCTTTATAAGAGAGGATGTGCGGCGATGAAAAGGTGTAGCGTCTCTTTCAGTTTAATGCTGTTCGGCGTTTGCGTCGCTTAACAACATGGGGTTGCTCCATTCCTCGAGTCTAAACGGGTGCAACAGGTTAATTCTCCGCAATCGCACGACGAATTGAACTTGTGCGTGTATTCGACCGCGATGATAAAAATGCGTCCCTATAAAAAAAGAATGTCCATGACATTGTATGCCCATGACAATGTTCTTTAGTGTTTTTTTTTATTTTTTTTACGACAGATCGTTGCAGGTTTTGCGTCTATAGTAGTGGCCTTACGTGAGTGAATACAAATCACGACGTATGTGTGGGAGAAGTTTTAGTCAATCTTAGATTCCTCGCAATATTTTGTACGGAGAGATGATGGTGGCTAATGTCGAAGGAACTTCCAGCGAACGGGTGTGATGGGCAAATTGTATTAGGGGAATGCCTCTGAAGCTGATTGATTGACGAGCTATCTCAATAAAAACCAGAAAGGCGGCTATCTCTTTCGGTTCATAAGATTTCGCACTTTTTTTATTCGATTAATGTATGGTCCGTCACCGAGTGGCAGAATATTATCAATTTATTTTTTGCTTGGTCTCTCGTTTACGACGATTTTGTGAGATTCGGCATCGACGCCTTAAGGTTCATTTAGTAGTGTAATCTATCTAAGAGCACGTGATAGCGTTAAGTTCTCGCCACCGATTTCTTAACTTATCTCTGCTGGTAAGCTTAAGTTTGCCGAATTCTACGTAGAATCAGTTCATATCCTAGTGTAGGTTTTTTATAGAACCGTTGCACCTGTTCGGACTTAAAAGAACATAGAGTGGTTGGCCGGTAAAGCGCAATGGCGGCCGGGTCTGAAAAGTGCGGCGTCGCCCGCGTTCCTAATGACTCAGAGCCAGCGTCGCCTAGGACTGGGGGTCGAAAAGGATAGCTGGAAATGAAGAGATGCAATGATCGTGAACGATAATAAGCAAAAAGTGATAACGGTTATGTACAGATAATACAAGTTTTTCTTTCTCCCCCTGGCAGTTCCGGGTAGGAGGAAGAGATGTCGGACGAAGCAACCTTGCATATTACAAAATAACGCGTCTGCAAATCGAACCGCGTATTGCTGGGTTCCGGAAAACCACCGGTAGTGGAAACAAAAAGTCGCGTTTCAGTGCATATTGGCGCTTGGAAGGACAGCAGGGGGACTCGATCGGTTCACTAGATGGAAGGGAGACTGGGATTGAGAAAGGCTTGTGCCTAGTCCAGGGAGCAGGTCTAGTGATAAGCTCTCGCGGGCTCGCAAGCGAGTGGGCCATTTGTGGCGATCTCAACCTGCTGGCGTCTAGAATGAATGAGGGAGAGCGCGCAGCGTGAACTGGTACACCACAGTTGAACGAAGTGACTGTCGATGCACGGGCACTGCTCTGGAAGCATTCTAAAAGCATTCCTAGCACACTAGCTGCACTGGGGTCTTGCGACGAGCAGCCTTACTGAGCGTCGGGGGTGTCTTCTTTTACGTTTCGTGGTCATCCAGATTCGAAGAAGGCGCTACGCACTTTGTCGGTGCCGACTAGGAGGCTGTAGCGTTTGTGGTAGAGCGGAAAAGCAGTTCGGCCAGGCACAGAGCGAAGATCTGCAGCGGTATCGGCGAAGCGTTTATGCACTCAGTTCAGCGTTTAGGGCGAATCAGCCAGTGGTGCGATTCGATCATCTTGCCGTTTGAAAAGCAGAGGGGAGGCGGCCGCCTAGATGTCTACCTGGCGTGGTGTCCGGGCGATGGGTGCTGGTGCGGCCGCCGAAGCAGCCTCGCGATGATCTCGCGAAGGATTTTTTTGCGCGATATCGCACTGGTATTGTTAGCGTGCCTCGATGGAGGCACACTGTTGTCCTTGGACATTGGACTCAGGTAGCCCATTCGATCACGGCCCACGAATATTCCGGGCCGTGACACACAATCTTTGGACCATTAACCCTAGCCGTTTTTTTCCCCGCTTTACTTTGGACCATAGGATCTTGTAGCAACAAACCACAAAAACGCAGTTGCGACCAGTTCCAGGAACTCCTGTCGGATGCGAGGGGAACTCGACGAGCCGAAAGTCCCCCAATGTACGTTGATAGAGGTGCTGTGAGACGTGGATTGGTTTCCGCTTCCTCCTATAGTTCCGTGGAGAGTCGTCGGCGTAGGTTGTCCTCGACATCCACCACGTGATCGGATCTTCCGGGAGACGCGGGCACTTCCGTGAACTCGGCCGAAACTTGCCAGGAGCGCGGGGACAGCGTGGCCGACGGCACCAGGTGGTCCCTGGAGACGCTGAGCAGGGCGCTGTCGTCCGACGACGACGCGATGCAGCGTCGCGGCGACGGGTGCCCGATGACAAACTTGACCCGTTCCTCGTTGGAAGAGCCCGACGAGTAGCCCGAGTTGGGCGGGGGGGAGCCCGAGTCGGCCATTTTGGCCAGCATCTCCTCGAGCAGGCTGCAGTCCGTCTGGGAACCCTGGTGGGAGACCCTTCGCGGAGGGCCGAACGGGTGCGGCTGGGGTAGTAGGGGAATCGGGGGTGGCGGCGGGGACGCTGGCTGCTGGCCGCCGTTGCAGAGTTGCTGCAGCAGGCGGGCGCTGGCGCGGAGCTCTTGCGCCAGCCCGCTGACGTCTTGGGACACGCTCTTGAGTTGGACGTCGAGGCGGTCCACGCTTCCGCGGAGTTGTTCCATCTCGTCGCGGATCTCGAACAGCTCCACGGACCGGCCTGGGAGGAGGAAAGAAGGGAGCGGAATGTCAGCGCCGCAATTATGAAGTGCACAAGGGAAGGTTACACGAGTTGCGTACCGTTTCTTACAACATAAAGACCGCAGTGAAAGCTCTCTCTCGCAATTCCCAAAGAGGAATGGTCGCCTCTGCGCCTCCAGTCAAATACACCATTTTCTGACGTCAAGTGATCAGAATTCGTCAGTGGCATTTTCTAAGGATTCGCGTCCACAAAACAGAACTCCGCCTTCGAGGAGTTTGTTTTCCTTGGCGCAAGCTCGTCTGCAGTTCTTAGGGTGCAGCGTACTATCGACATTTAAAGAAATAGCGTGCGAAACTTAAATTGACTATCTTTTAATTTGACAGCGAAATATGATTTATATCTAGGCTCTTGTTTCTAACAAACTGACAGGATAGCCTATTTTACGAATATTGATCAATAAGATTCAAACACGCACACGGCTCCTCCATGAAGAGAACAGCATAATTTATTTTAGGAAATTCTGCTCATCTTCCGAAATACGAAAAGCGTTCTAGCGGTGCCACGGATCGACCGTTCGCCACACGGGCAGCAAGAGGACCCTGCCACCTGGAGTTCCTCGATACGCTATATATCTATATAGCTATATGCAGGAACTCTACTGCTACCCACCGAGGTGCGGTAGCGTCGCCACGGGCCGCAGCTTGTCCATGGCGATGGAGCCGGGCGTCCGGAACGGCGAACCCAGAACCGAAGTTCTCCGCGGCGGGAACACGGTCTCCGTGGTTCGAACCGTGGCTGCCGCGGGTGTGAGCAGCGGCTGCGCGGCCGCCGCGGACGCCTTGGCGGCGCCGCCTGCTTCCCAGGGCTCGTCCTTGGCAGGCTTGCCTCCGGCGGCGTCCTGCGTGTTGGAGACCGGCGACCCGGGCGCCGTCTCGTTGCTGTCCGTCTCCTCGTCGTCTTCCGAGATGGACGGCAAGGTGAGAGAACAGACGCCGTTCGTTTCCTCCGCCTGCGTGGGACACGTAGAATCGGTTAGTGCGCAGAACAGCCGACTGGCTGTCATACGAAGAGCGCGACTGTCCCAAAACGCGTCCTTGGTGCACCGGAACGCGTGGTTCGGCACGCCAATGAACGGGGAAGAAAGAAAACGCGCGACGACGAGGTATTCAAAGACTCGCCGTCATTGGCTAAGATCGGTGGGGGGGGGGGGGGGGGGGGGTATGAAAGCATGTATAGGCTTATCTGGAGGGTAAGCGAAGGCCCGATGTGCGCGAAGAGCAGACAAACTTGCAGGCCGTATAGTCGCTGACGGAGAAGCGCAGGTATTGTCTGCGCGCTTCGTAGGCGCCGTTCACACTCTTGCGACCGAGTAAGACCGAGAGAGACCAGACCGGTTTTTAAGCCTTTTGCGACTACTTAGGACCGGATGCGCTGCAGCGAAGCTGGTCCTAAGAGATCGCAAGAGGCTTAAAAACCGGTCTGGCCTCTCTCGGTCTTACTCAGTCGTAAGAGTGTGAACGGGCCTTTAGCGTTTTCATTGTCCCTGCAAGGTTTTTATTGGCTGAGAGAGAGAGAGAGAGGTCAGTGAATGACAAAATAAAGATACGTTTAGAATTAAAAAAAAAAAAAAAAATAGCAGTCTGCACCCTGACACTGAGCATGACGTTTCACGTACTCATGTCATGTTCAGTGTCACAGCGGCAGACATTTTTCTTTTTACAGCTCGTTGGTATGGTATTTTTCGTGTCGGGTATCTGCGTCCTCACGTAAAAATAACAAAAAAAAAAATTCGGTGATTGAAGCGAAAAATGCATACATCACGCATACAACATACATGAAGAATCAAGCACAGAATGAGCATCCGAACCAGATGATTGATGATAAGGCGTTCCCTATAACAATGCGAAGCACGTAGCGCTACCGCATATACGTTTCCCAGTAAAGATTACTGTTGAGCAAGCTGCTGCCGCGGGTGTAGCCCGAAACAACCCATTCCCGTTTGAACCCGTGACGTTTTGACCCATTCCCGAAACGACCTTCCCGTTTGAACCCGTCCCCTTTCGACCAATTCCCGAAACGACCTTCCCGTCTGAACCTGTCCCCGAAACGCCCTTCATATTTGAACCCGTAGCCAAGACATATTTTACGTTTGAATACGTCCCGTTTGAACCCGTTGGTACAAAGCCTCACACATCTCAACCTCTTCGCGAAAAGTGTCCATCGTTCTAATCCTGGTTTGCGCAGTTTTTCTGCTTAAGAATATGTCCCGAAATCATGTTAATGAAATTAATGCAAAGGTGCAGGCGAGCAATTCAGTTATGTAGTGAAATATTTTTGCTTGTAAGCGTATTCTTAAAATATGCAATACTTTCAGACAAGCTTCAACGAAATATATTTCTACTTCAACCACTTAAAACGTTTCTTTCAAGATGGTCCCCGAAATGCGTTACTACGAAATGGACTATGTACACTGCGCGACAACGTTACCACGAACACGATGTTGACAATTTTTCGAATTTTACTTCGAAATGGTATTAGAAGGTACCACATTTTACCGCTTAGGTTAGTGGCCCAGATGAGCACTTTCAAACACATTAATAATGTTGATGGCAGTCTTCTGATTTTTTTTTAGACAAACAGCTAAAACCAACAATCGCTTGTTCGTGTTAACGGTTTCGCGCTCTGTACAATAACAGGGAGCTTTCGTAGACCATTTTCGACATCACACGACGCTCCTCCGCAACCCGCTACGATACCCAGAACTCTACAGTCAAGGCCATCGGCGCGCAGGCGCAGTAGCGGCTTCTTCGTTGCGGAGGGCTTAGCGAAAGGGGAAACGCGGTCTACGAAAACTCCCTAATAAAGTGTTAGAGTAACGCAGGCAAGCACTTTGAGTAAGCAAAAATTAGCGTTGCCTAAGTTTTTATATCGCGACGCTATTTTTAGGTTACCGAAAACGCTTGCGTACGTTATTCTAAAACTTCCTTATAGTGAGTAGGATATTTTTAAAAGTGATAAATCAGACAGGCTGACGGGCATATGGTTGCGACTTCATTTTCTTACAAGTTCAAACACAGAACCGTCGCGTACACAGGCAAAGATCATAAACCACAAAATGCTATCGCCTTTGTTGAGGAAGTTGAGCAGGAAAATCTGCCATCAGAAAGGCGACACTCCAATTGTGATAGTTCGCGGCGGTCACCTGGCCCGCACGGCACCACCATTTGCCAGCTGCTGCAGCGATATCCTTGTCAATGCCTCATCCCGTTTGCAGGTCGATGAAGTTGTAAATGTTCGGGTGAGCCCTCCCTGACACAGCGTTTACCTTACGGTGCCATGTCTCCGAAGTTGTTTCGGGAGAGGGAGAAGTGATGTGAGCAAGGAGAACAGACACTGGACACTTGAACCTAATCAACTGTTAACGAACAATACAAACGAACCGAACGATGGCCGAAGCGGGAAGGTTGTTTCGGGAAAGGGCAAAATGGGAAAGGATGAAACGAGAAGGTCGTTTTGAGCCGGGTCGAAACAGGAAGGTACAGACGGGAAGGTTGTATTGGGAATGGGTCGAAACGGGAACCACCCGCTGCCGCGGCGACAGCAGCTTGCGACGTGGGGAGTGATGTCACTTGCCTTTCATATCTAAAGACGTTTAGGTACAGTGGATTTACTTTTCTTTCGTCAATCATTTGGTATGGTGCAGTGGGCAATCGTATCACGGGGCTCCTATTCACAGCGTGGATAGGAGCCCCGACTTTTCTGTTCGAAACATATTTTCAGCCCCGTCATTCACCAAGTCCCCCCTCCCTGTAGGTCGCAGTGCAGGAATGTAGATGCATACCCGGCTAGGATGCCAAGCGGTGTATATTGCTCGTACCCAAGTTGCAATCTTTATTAGCTAATGCGCGAGCGTATTAGCTCGGTATGGCAAATATCACTGGTCGGACCGCAGACGAAGCTACATACGATCCTTTGCGCGTCTGGTTTAACCGGTAATATACGGAGCGCAAGTTCGTCTGCTTCTTTTGCAGGGGTTGTGGTGACGTCAGAACGCCGACGTCTGATTGGCTGTGATTGAAGGATAGTGTTGGCAAAGTCCGAAAAACGAAGTATAGCTTGAAAGGTATGTAGCACGAAAAAAAAAAAAAAAAAAAGAACGAACAAAGCAGGTCAAGCAGCAGAGGCAAGATGTTTTTGGGGAGCTCAGTCTCCCTTTAAGGATAAAAAGGTACTATACAAAAAGATTGCAATAAAATTGCGTCTATACGTAAAATTTCGTATATAACTGCCAAAAGTATTACATTGCACTTTGCTATGCAATAAAGGTAAAAAAAAAAGAAAAAAAACTTTTAGTTTTTCCACTTTGTTGAAGAAGGTAGACCAGCGAAGCTGTACTCTGGTGGGATTGAAGTAATGGCCGGCCGCAAGTCGGCAAGCCAGAGTGGAAAGGCTGGACAAGTTGCCGCCATCTATGAGCGATGGCGGTAGCTGTCTCGAGTGTTTTGTCGACATCTATTTGCTGGCGGACACGATCCTGAGGAAACTAGCCCTTAACAGCTCCTCTGTAAAAACGATTGTTTTTATTTTGGACAATTAAGGCTCCAAATGAGATGACCGCGAAAAGGTGATAAGAAACTCGGTAGAAACTTTGAAGCTGCTGAATTCCTTTTGCATAAAATGTACATTGCTTTGAAATCAAATATTCTAGGTATGCGTATCTTTAATAAAATTAACTGTTGTGCTAATTTGCTAGGCATAATAAATATCGAAAAAGCGCAAAGAACAAGGTCAAGACGTGGAACAAGACAGGACGAGCACTTACTATCAACTGACGTTTTAATGCATTAGTAGTGAAAGACAAGGAGGAAGTGAGTGATGTGTTCATTAAAAACAACAGAAGATGAAATAATAATTTAGTGGAAAGTGTGGAAGAGGAAGCTTTTTCGATCGGTGGCCAGTTGATCGGATCGGTGGCCCAGTGGGCTAGCGCACCGTGGAGCGAAAGCTCGCGCTGCAGAACCCAGCATCCTGGGTTGAATCCTTACCCCTGCCCGCTTCAATCTGGATGAGCATCGCACCGGCGTGCGGTCGTGTATCACTACTGTGTGCTGCACGTTAAAAACCCCAGGCTAGAGGTTCTACCGCACTGGCTAAATTTCTCATCGGCAGCTGGGAGACTCGTCGCCCGTTGAGGCAGACCAAGTTTTAGCCTGTATAAACATAGCCCCAATTTTTGTTTTTCATGTACCACTTTTAGTTTTGATGGTGTGGGCCTCATAAATTTCTCTGCTGCTCCAGTTATAAAACCACCCGAGGACTTTAGTTTGGCTAAACACTGGGGTGCCTTTGTAATCTCTCACCTGTATAGCTAGGTGTTCAGCCGGTGTTGACTTAAGTGAAAGGGTATGCTCTCGCAGTCTGATGTTAACACACCTGCCAATTTGACCCACGTAGGCTCTCCCACAGGTAAATGGTATCTCGTATATGACACATACGTTGCTGTCTACATATTTGTTTGCATGTTGTACCGTGCATCGGTCAGTCGATTCCTTCAGCGAGTTAAGTTTAGGGCAAAGCCTTTTAAGTTTGCCTGGCGCAGGGAGTACTACTTGGATGTCAAACTTGTTTGCTACCCTTTTTAAGTTGTGAGCTATTTTTGTGGATGTAAGCTATAACAACTGGCCGGCGATTCTTGTCAATCCTTCTTTCTCGTCTTTCGTTAGTTGTCATCAATGTTTCTACGACTTCATGCATTATAGAACTCGGGCATCCCCACTCCTTAATCCACTTGTGCTTCAAAGTTTCTTCCTGCTGTGTTGTCACACGATTTCAACAGAGCTGTGCTCAGACAGCTTTTCGCTATTCGTCTTTTTATAAGCCTAGAAGCAAGCCGAGTCGTAAAAACAAATACAGTACGACTCGGCTTATTTTAAGCCGATAAAAAGAGAAATAGCAAAACGTTGCCTGAGCACAGCCCTCTTGAAATCCTGTGACCACACAGCAGGGAGGAGCTTTGAAGCACAAGCGGAACGGCTTAAGGAGTGTGGATAAGCAATTTCTATCCTGCATGAAGTCGTAGAAACATTGATGACAACTAACGGAAGACTAGAAGGAAAAGTTGACAAGAACCGCCGGCCAGATGTTATACCGTACATTCACAAAATATCTTACAACTTGATAAGGGTAGCAAACAGGTTGGACATTCAAGTAGTACTCTATGCGGCAGGCCAGCTTAAAAAGGCTCTGCCCTAAAATTAACCCCTAGAAGGAATAAACTGACCAACGCACCGTACAACATGCAAAAAAATAGGTTGACTGCAGCGTAGGTGTCACATACGAGATACAATTTACCTGTGGAAAAGTCTACGTGGGCCAAACTGGCACCCGTGTTAACACCAGACTGCGAGAGCTTGCCATTTAAGTTGACACCGGCTGGACTCCTAGCTATACACATTAGAGACTGCATATGCACACCAGTGTATAGCGAAATTAAAGTCCTCAAGCGGTATCATAACCCGAACAGTAGAGAGATTTATGAGGCCCACACCGTCAAAGTTAAAGGGGATACGTGCATTAGTGCACCGTCTGTAGGTCTGTCTGACAAAGAAATAAACTACGTCAACTTCTTTAAAAAAAAAAAAAATATAACGTTTTTTAAGAGCTTCATGAAATATTAATGTTCAATAATCTATATAATTTATGGAATTTCCAAAAAAGTTTCCACGTTCATTTTTTAAAATCATTATTACCCGTTTCTGCCTTTTTAAGTAGCACATCACCCACTTCCGCGTTGTCTTTCACTACTAATGTATTAAAACGTCAGTTGATAGTAAGTTTTTGTCCTGTCTTGTTTTACGTCTTGTCCTTGTTCTTAGCGCTTTTCGATATTTATTATGCATACCGTCTTTAACAATACAACCCCGGTTTGCTTAAAAAATGCGCACGTAATACTGCAAATATACCTGTTGCTGCACAAACCCTTTGCTTGGTACTAAATGCAGCTTTATTCCTCTAAACCCTCAAAATAATTTTTGAGGGTTTAGAGGACAACAGTTTTCTTGTTTAGTTGTTTTTGGTATATCTCTACAAAATTCCTGAAATCAAATTAATTCATTTCGCCACATCGTTAGCATCGTCAACTAAGATATATATCGGTATTCATAAACCAATAATTTGCGACACACAGATATACTTTCATGATGATCGTAGTTGTAGTGTTCGTTGATGAATACATGACTTTGACGAACATCAGGTTAAAACAACACATTATTCGCACATGTCGATTATTTTGGTTTCCTTGCTTTGTTTTTGTTTTGTAACTAAATTTACTAGCTGCCTTTCTTTTTTGTTTCACCCATATAAAGTTGCCGATTGGACATCAATTATAAACACAATTTCGATATGTTACTTCGCGTACAATTTTTATCATCTCTACTGAAATGCTATTTTCAGCAGTAATCACGATATCAAAATTATGCATGTTTCCAAAGTAAAATTTGATTGTGTTAATGTGCTTTGGAATGAGAACGAAAGGATAAAATGGTTTTCACCCCTTCCTCATATTGTTTCGCAGAACTTAGGCACCTCACCAGATATGTGTATGTGGTCAAGCCCTTTCGGACACCGTGCTGGTAATTTGTAAAGGTGCGACGTTTTTCTAGAAAAAAGCAAACAAAAAGTTTTTTTTAAAGAACATGTTACATGAGCCTTTGACTGATGCATGCGATTTAAATCAGTATATGCTTATACACACAGTTTGAACTACCTGATTTCAGAATTGGAATTACTTTGCCCAAACTTCGGTTCTTCGATAAAACACCGCTCGATAGAGATATCTGGAAGACAAAAAAGTAAATCCTTAACTGATCACATGGCATAACTGTGACAGTGAGGGTTTTGTTCCTAGGCCAATTTTCGTCTACATGACGCGCATTTCCTACTCTACGAACCATAGTCTTCGATCGTTAACAGAGTCTGTACCAGGAGCTTTGCGGACAGTGTGACTAAGAATGGCTGCAGAAATGAGTATGTGAACAAGTTCATGCTATCCAGCAGCCAGGCCACCTAATACCCTTTGTACAAAGAACTGCGGAAAAGAAACGTTTATTCGACCTTGTCTTTCAAAATATGTCTCAATGTTATTATTTTGCATTTTAAGGCAGCAGTTGGAGCGTCTCACTTTACAGCAAAAGGCAATTCCTTCTGATCCTCACATAAAGCGTTGCAGATGATTCTTCGCGAACGGGATGACGCTGCGCGATCATTCAAACGCTACAGTTAAGGCTGTCTATGCGTCCGAAGGAAGATCGAAAGTAGATGGCAGCACCATTCTATAATCGTGCGAGAAACATCGCCTGACTAGTCACACGCGTTTTCCGCTTTGCCGCATGTTCTTGTCAAGCTCTCCACCCTGTTTGCGCTAAACACGGCCTTCGGGACCACTAAAGATGACGTAACGCGCGGGCCTCGTCTCCCAGCTGGCACTGGTACATCCCGTTGGGCGAGCATGCTATGGGTCTTTACCTCGTTCTCGTATCCCTCCCTGAGGTTGTAGGTGAGGTCGTGGACAATGTCGTGACAGAAGCTCTCGGCGAACTCCGGGTACAGCTTGAGCACTTCGAGGAGACCCGGGATGAAAAGGCACTTGAGGTCGCAGTACGTCAGGGCCTTCACGTCACTGCTCGACCTCATCACGGTCTCGGCGCCGGACGTTAGTGAGATGTCGCTGCCCACCAGGTCGCCCTTGCCTGCGTGCGTGCACGAAAGAAAGTTTGTTTCGTGTACCGTATACGTTGTTACAGTGATGTGGCTCCATACTTGATCTGAGCCTCATTGGTGTAATTGACAACGAACAGTGTGAGAGCACAAGTTCTTTAAGCATAATACTTAATAGTACAGCTTTGCTATGTCCCAGTACCTTTGTACCATTTTTTTTACTTTACCCTGATACGTTCATTATAGTCTCCACGAGTGAAAAAATCAACAACTTAAAGTAAAAAAACAACACATATGTGGTACAAGCTGGTACTAAAAATCTTGAAAAAGAAGTTACTGAGTCTCTCATGTGGCAACCAACGCTTCGCTACGAGGCTTGGCCTGCGAAATATTGCCCCGAAAAAGCCAAGTCTCTTAGCGAAACCTCGGCTAACTCGGGAAAGCTTTTGGGAGATTTATTTTTAAGCTACAAGTAAGCACTGTGCAGTGTCTTGCGAACCAAACAGAAGCACAAAAAAACCCAAACTATTCCGGAATCGAAACTTGTAGCGCCCGCACATGGCATGCAGAGACGAACCAAGCCAATCTAATTAAGAAGTTAGAACAACGAAAACAAAAAAATATACACCCCTCTAAGGCAGGTGTCAAGTGTCCCCTGCAGTAGCATGACAGGAGAAGTTTGGCTACGGTCTCTGGAACGTGTCTCCGATTGGTGTGCTTATACCGCGTCCTAACAAGCGGTCCCTCGATTTTCACCCGATGACGCTACAGAAATGTCACACTGTCTCCGGCCGCGATCCTAGCAATGACACAGCAGCACAGCATGACACTCCGGCTTTTGTGGCGTCATTCGTTGCCACTTTGGGACCACTTTTGATGTACGGGCGGAATAGGACGCTAAGCACACCAGTGGGAGACGTGTTCCAGGCCAAGAGACCTCTAATGTTCAGCAAGGGAAACAAAGAAATCATTCACTAAGAATCGGGAAGGCGCGACCACAATTTGTTTTACAAGGCAGTAAACGCATCCACGCCAAGCCCATCGATTATGCATGTATAGTACATGTCCCTGTGGACCAGCCGATGGCGCGTAAAAGGGCGGCTGACCGAGGATGGCGACGACCATGCTCTCCTGGAGCACCTCCATGGAGCCGTTGCAGACGAGGTGGATGTAGGACAGGGCGTCGCCCTTGTGCACCAGGTACTCCCCCGGTGCGCAGAAGTTGCTGCGCACGTGGCGCGAGAGTAGTTTGAGGCAGCCCTGCGGCGCCGGCTCGAAGATGGGCAGCGACAGGATCTCCTTGTGCAAGTGCATGGACACGTCGCCCAGCAGTTCGTCCGGGAACTCGCGGAGCACCTGCGTGTAGAAAACGTAACTTGCTTCCGTGTTCTGTGGACGGCACGCTTCTGTCGTCACACAGCGAGTCTTGTTGCCCCACGGAGAAACATGGGGCAACCTATGTTACTCCTTGTGCGCGAAAAAAACTTTGAGGAAATAGCACGAAGTTTGAAAAACGAGAAAATAGTTCATCTCCATATTGTAAACGAATCACGCGTGAGTATTTATAGCAGAAAAGGCGCAGTCGTGTTTTTACGCTAGCTACCATATTTGCTATTTACATGCATTCAACGTCCTAGTCTCTTTTCTATAGCACCGAACGATTATCGCATGTTCCCCATTTTGTGCGTTTTTTGGTTGATTTTCGCGATGTATTCCACCCGTTAAGACCGCCCGACTAGCTACCGGAACCACTCGAGGTTGGTGATCGGCAGCAGAAGTTAATAGTAGGTAGCGGAATTGTCATGGTTGGAGGTGGATTATAATGGTGATCTTCGACCGTTTTTATCTGGAACTTGGGGGACATAACAAAAATGCCACGAACTATTATTTTTAGGCAGGCAAATCTACCATAAATACATTTTAGCTTTTAGAACTAGTGCTTCACATAAACGCATACTTTTTTAAATACAGCGACAGGGAGTTCGTTACGTGCTGGTGTGTGCAAAAAGTTTAATTCGCGCTGCTCATTTTCCTCCACTCCGACACGTCGTCGCAACGTTGGACAACGTCAGAACCGGGCGGACGCATCCTGTCCTCACGTCGTTTGGGTCTATGCCGTTGTTGAGCGACCAGGTGGTCTGGAAGAAGTCCATCATGCGCTGGCGGAGCTGCTTGGGGAGCTGATGGAGCCGGAAGAAGTCCTTCAGGTCCCGCAGCTTGGTCTGGTACAGGGACCGCCGCGCGTACATCCGCTGGATGATGGCCGTCACGTTGCCGAACACCACAGCGTGCATCAGGGCTGCCATCGGAGAAAGAGTAGAGAGACGATGACAAGCCGACACACACTGACGCAGCACTTGTCTGCGCTCGATCTCGCTGGGATGAGAAGCTAATGCTTTTGATAATTCTAGGCGCGCCTCAGCTCTGGAGGCCTGCGTGGTGGCAGATGTTTTGTAGAAAAGGGACGCTGCGCGTGCATGGTTGGGGTACAACAACCCAGTAAACAAAGATGGTAGCGGACAAAGGGGGATCATTGGAACGGTCTTCATGGCGCGCGCGCTAGAACGTTTGGACCGAAAGCGCCGTATATAGGATAATCAGATGGGTCTCTTTGGGTTTGAATGAGTAATTTTACGTAGGCGGCACGTGGCTACAAAGATTTTCAATAGGGTTTAGCGCGATCGCTTGAATGTTGTAAGGATGTGCGTAACTTTTGCATTTGAAACTCTAAGTTTGGGCACACAGTGGCGCCAAAAAATAGGTCATTGAGATAAACTTCGAGTCATTCATTAAGGTGCATGTCAGTTTGTCCTGCCCCAGGTTTTCAAGGATTAGCATTCTTCTTCGCGCAGGCCCTAGGTCGGTATGTTGCCTATTGTTTCAATTCTACTTTTCTCTCTTTCCTGTTTTGGATTCAGCCCGGGTCAACTTGAGGCTTAACAATTTTGAAAACACAAATATTTAATTTTCTTCTCCCTTTTGTTGCGTTACGGTACGTGAAGGCGTTAAGTAATTTGAAATGAGTGCATCTATGTATATGGTGTAGAAATTTCCCTACCAAAACCGCAATAAAAGCTTTCAGTTAATTAGCACGTTCAAGCTGGTAATGAATAATCCCCAATATGTTTACGATCCGTAGCGCTCCAGATATTACCAATGCATTGCATTTTAAGTTTTTTTCGTGGTGCTCTGGAAAGTGGAGGTTCCTCTTCGCAGATGCCCTCAAGCGAAGCTTTTGTGTTATCTTTATTGCGCAAAAATTTAACAATTTAATCTAAGAAGGCTGGAATTACGTTATTTGTAAAGTTTACGGCAAACAAAACGCCTCGTGAAACGTGTTTTTTTTTAATTAGCTAAGGCGCTAGTCATACCAATACGTACGTTAAAATTGTCTTTTATGCGGACTTTCGTCACGCATTCTCCCGCGTTTTTATATTTGGCATCGCCAGTGGGAAACCGCAAGATGTCATTCGCGAAGAGGCACATCCACTGGCCAAAATCGGGAAATCATGGGCACTTGACTAACGAAATTATGCACAAAGCTTTCAGGAGGCAAAAGCGAACCTTAGAAGAGCGATTGGCAGGAGATAAAATAAGCTCGCTCGCAAGAAAAATGAAAGCCGCTTTCAAATGGAGCTGCCCATTATCCTATGGTCACTGACCTGGCCAATTATCCTATGGCTCAGTGACCTGGCCCATTATCCTATGGCCCACTGACCTGGCCCATTATCCTATGGTCTGTGGTCACTGACAAGGGTTAGAAGGGCAGTGAGGAGATTGAGTTGTCCCGCTTCCAGCGAGAGCTTCCTACCTTCGACAAAGCACGGTGGAAGGCAACGAGTGCATGCTGGAGGTCAGACGTACAAAAGACAGGCCTTGCCGTTCTTATTCTGCCAGCTACTCTAGTTTAGCGGGTCACGGGTGCTCACCTCCAATGAGCATGGTGAGAATGGAAAAGACTTTTTCGGCGTTTGTGTTGGCGGCCACGTTGCCGAAGCCCACGCTCGTGAGCGAGCTGGTGGTGAAGTAGAGTGCCGTAATGTAGGTGGCCGCCATGTCCAAGGGCCGCAGGACGTCGTACTCCAGCTTCATGGACAGCTGGCTCAGCCAGCCTGCGCGCGAGAAAGAGCATCCGTCCGTTTGGAACCGCGCCAATGTCGGGAGAAGGGGTCACCACTAACGCGTCTGGTAAGAACATAAGAGCAAGCTAGAGTCGGGAAAACAAATCTACATCGGGGACACAGTGATTGGGAGGCAGAATTAGCGCGAACAAGCGAGAAACAATAAGTTTGTCGTGTTCTCTGAAAAAATCAAAAGCTTTCATAGAGGCTACCACAGTGTGGCCAGAAGTCCTCATTCGAGGCAGTAATTTAAGCAGTCTAGTGTGGTACCCGTCAGCACTCGGTGTAAGTAAAATGTAGAAGAACGCACATGCCGTGTTGGCGCTAGCACTGTCGTGCTGTGTACATCGTGAGACACTATTAGCACTGACACTATATAGACGCTTTGCAGCAGCTGTGCAAGGACACCGCCATAACTGACCTTCAGTTTTTGTTTCCTCTTATTCCGTTTATTTCACATCATCATTACCATAGTAGGCCAGGTTATTGCCATATTAGATTCAACTGTGCCCTTTTCTAAAGCATCGGCCTTTGTAGAGGATCGTCAACTACCCTTTCAGTTTCTCAGCATCTCGGTAAAACAAGAGAAGGTCAGCAATGGCGGCTGTAATTTGGCGCGTGTGTAAAGCGTCTATACATTAGCGTATTTTCAGATTTTCTACAAAATGGGCTTGAAAAACGCTAGCTTTTACGTTCTGTTCCTAGTTATTGCTCTAGAGGAACCTATTCTAGCACACAAACATAACTAACAAGCTGTAAAAAAAAAAAAAGAAACCGGCGATTTATTATTGTTTGTCCTAGCTGTATCGTCTAGAAGCGAGCCAGTTAGAGTGGGTGAATGGCGTGATCTAGTACGGTACGTGCATTTTTAAACACAATACCATTTTAAACGGTGTATACTTACGTTTGTTGGATATATGTCTAAATCAACAGTTCGAATAAAAAACAAAACACTGGCTAGATGACTTAAGCAACCCCCCACTTCAAACGGTTCAGTCGTATCCACCCATTAGCAGGCCGAAAATGCGGGAAGGGGGGCAACGCACTGATGTTGTTCTGCGGGAAGCTCTCCATCTCCTGGACGGCGATGACGAACCAGATGCATGCGAGCCAGTGGGAGACGAGCGTGAACATGAGCATGAGCAGCGTGAGCACGACCACGCTGTACTGCGAGTAGCGGTCCATCTTCTGCAGGAGCCGCGCCAGCCGCAGTAGCCGGGTCAGCTTCAACAGGTGCAGGTACATCTGGTTGTCCTGCGGGGCCGGAGGGCACAAGGTACGCGGTCAGAAGACGGTCACATCTACGGTACGTGGACCGTTTACAGCATAACGGCCATGGCAGTGTAAAATGCACAATGGAAAGACGGCCGGGTGATAGTGTCCGCGATACTATACGGTGTTGTATACGGTAAGCAAGCAGGTTACGATTCTAAGCCAGGGAATAGCTTTACTACCTCCGGTCTCTATATTTATCACATATGGTCAGTGACAGGTTAAGAACCCAGCAGAGACTCCGCCTCGTGCGCGAGCTTTTACAGCGGTAGCTGTTAGTGGCCCTTTCGAACCAAGAACGCTACTGTACGAACGCAAATCCCCTCTTTACAGCAGACACACCGCTCTCCGTCTCCCAGTCGTTCCTCAAACACTGCAAGGCTCTCTCTCGCTCCCCCCCCCCCCCCCTTCCCATCTAAGCCGCCGCTGTTCCCAATAACCCACGTGATCGTCTCCATTCTTACCCCCCCCCCCCCCGCCCCCTTTTCCAAACCCCTCCGGCAGCTGCAGTTGCGAAATATCCACGTGGTAACTGTGCGAACATGCTCCCCGCCTCCCCATTGTCGCCGCGCCCAAAGTATTCCACTGATAGTAAGGAGCCCATTGCAAACATTGTACGATGCACTGGGGGAAGGCAAAACTCTTTAAACATGCCTTTCCCCGAAGGAGCAGCTACCGCTGGCAATCGCAGCACACTTTGCGATGTCGTTCGCTATTGTTTTCCGCCTTTAATAACACTTGGTTGCACGCGTAGCCAATGCCCGGCGAAAGGCAACGAGTCACGTGCTCCAGGCGGGACATCTGCTGGGTTTCTAACCTCTCACCGTCTAGTGTTCTACACTACGTCACTACTCTGCCTTGATAACTGCTCTCAATTCATGTATACGTTATTTGTACAGTGTACGAAGTAGTGCGATGACCTCACTAACTACATGATAGTGGCGCGCGTGCTCTAATGCTACACAGAAGGCAACCTAGAACAGTCTCCAAGATTGTGAAAGACCCATTCGACAAGTTAGTTTCACGCGATTCTGCCGCGTTCGCTTTGGCTACGGCCACATTGTTCGGGGCAGGTAACTAAATTAACATGCGTTCAATTATATATTTAAAAATAGAGTGCCTCTGGCCAAGGTGTGCCGAGCACCGTCGCATAAACTGCCTCGGTGAATGGGTCTTTTATATTGCGGGAGGCTGTTCCTTAATGCCACTGTTGCGTGGCGTAAACTATATTCGATACTCACGCCACGGCTGAAGGAGCTGAATAGCTAGTCTTAGAACTCCGTCAACGAGCCGATACTGGGGTGGGGACATTGAGCATCATTTGGCGGGATTTCGGACGAAGAATACTTCCAGGGGGGAAAGTTTCGCAGACTTTAGCTGAGCATAATCAGATTTATAATTAAGACGAACCAAGAGGAAGGAAATAAAAATAGCGCTATTTTGAACATTTTCAGTAGTTGAATGGATCAAATTTAATTTCACAGAGAAAGGAAACTCTCGAATAGAAATGTGGTGATTTCAATGACGAATAGGAAGGGGGTACTGAAAGTATAATTAAAAGACGCAGACACACTTGTCTGCTAACGACATGCTTCACCAAAATGACATTAAAAGATACCAAACAGGCAGGTAGCTGGTCATTTGGGGGGAAAACAAAAAGCCGAGAACACCAAAGGGAACACACAAGGATCTGAGACGTTCTTCTCAATTTGTCGCTTGTCGTGTTTTTTTTCTCAATATCAATTGTATCTTCTTTGGTTTCTGAGGAAACGCGAAGCCCCTAGGACTCGAAACGAAAGGGGACAGCACGATACAAGATACGACCAGTTTGTATCGGTTACGCGCGTAATGGAATCCTCTCCAGGGAAAGTTATATTGGTCGGATCAAGGTTGCTACATCGGGGAGTTAGATCTGCATCGAAACTCGAAGCATTGCGTCTTCGGCGCAGACTAATAATACGGCCAGTTGAATCCTAGCCTGCTCTTTTCGTCACGTAGCAGTGCTCACATAAATGCTTGCCTGTTTGGGGCACTGTCTCGACGGAAACCGGCTGTATACCATACTATATACGACTGTGTTGCTCTATAGCTTTTGTTTCTGTCCTGTCAAAAACTGCTCTGCGCTACGGCGAAAGTGCGTTTCACTAACATACTCGAGCGATCGATTGATCGAAACTGCGCCTCCTTCAAAAAATCCTCATAAAAAACTTAGCTTTTTTTCAGAGCTAAAGGCCAGCCTTAGCGAAACGTCGGCTGACATCTTTCTTTAGCCGCAGTCAACACTGGGGTGCAAAAGACGCCGTGTTGGCCGCAGACACCGATTGCGAAAGTATCAGCGGACACGTGTCGCTCGAGCATATTCGAAGCTGGTTTGCCTTATTCATATATATGTGCTTCGAGCATGTATACAGACACTTTTATGTGTGACCAATGTAAAAGGACCGTCGTACAAGGAAAAAAATGCGCCACAGGCAGGGTCCGAGGCGCATTTCAGTGACAGTGTCTCCTTCAGTTACAGTGTCTCCTCCAGTGACAGTGTCTCGTTCAGTGACAGTGTCTTGTCCCTCTCCTTCGGTGACAGTGTCTTGCCCTCTCCTTCAGTGACAGTGTCTCTTGTATGACGTATTAACATGTGCGACCGCGGTTTCTACCTTCTTTCACCTAAATTGGACTAAATCTTCATGTTTGGACGACAGTTCCGTTTTGAGTGTCGTTTCGTTGCGCATAACCAGAGGAAAGAAACTATGACTACAACAGTAGCCTTTGGTTGGCGTTAAAGATTTCGAGAAGGGGGGGTGGGGGGGGGGGGGGGGGGGAGGGGGTTGGCAGACAGGGGGATACGATAATACATGGAAGGAGACGCGTCTTTCAAGCATATACACCTCTCGCGTTCACACCGAGAGGTGGCGGGGTCGCGCTGAATGCCAGAAGCACGAGAAAGGTATGGGTTGAAACGGTCTTGACGATGATTTGGGGGTGCGTTTGGCATGCTGAACGTACGCGGTGTAGAAGTGCGCCGCCTAAGTTGATGAGTTGTTTTGGCAGCTCTTTCGGCTCGTTGGCTTCCCGACAGGATGGCGGTGTCCCGGCATCCGTTGGAGAGCAAATGCGTGCTCCTTTGGCACGGCCCTGGCATGAGTAACGGCCACCGTTAAGTGCCTCGTGGGGGCTTTGAGGGGCTTCCGCCTAGCCTCGTACACGAATAGTTCGGGTGTCTTTTTCTTCCGAGTATATTCAACACATACGCGATTAGAGCCTGACTGGCGTTGCAAAAGGGCATTTTTTTTATATACGGAGAGAAAGTGGAGGAGAGGGAGGGGATGACAGAATGTGGTGACGTCAGAGTGCTAAGCTCTGGTTGGGAGGATAGACGCAAATGCTAGCTGCCTTTGGGCGTTCTGACGTCATCACAATACGCTCTCATTTCCCTATCTCCTTGAGTTCCTCTCCGAATAGTCTCGGACAGAATAAAAACGGCTCGGAGATATTTTTTTATTTAAGTTTTCCCGCCTCCAGCGTTAGCTTTCTACTTTGGATAACACCTGGGCGTCTAATGAGGCCCGAGCGTGCACGCGGAGCCGAAGCACGACGGAAGGCGCTGAGCGCGTGCTGGAGGCCACGCATCGAATGTAACGCCTTCTCGTTTTTATCCTGTCAGTGACTAGAAGAATATGCACCATCAGCTTGTGCTCCTGACACCACTTCTGCACTTGCGCAGTGCGTACGTACCCTAAGGGCAAAGATGCCTTTTCACACGCAACGAATCTGTATATAAAAGTGAATATCGTTTGTTACCCCCCCCCCCCCCCCCCCCCCCCCCCCCCCCCCCCAAACACACATCTGGAGTGGCCTACCGCCGCCATGCTGCCTGTATAATTATTTTCAACAGAGCCCGGCCAAAGGCGGAAGCTACGATCCTGCTGAGTCATTAAAAAAGCGCCGGCACCAAACAGGCAGGGGCGTTTTTAAGGGAACGGGGAGGGGGAGGGGGAGGGTGGCGATGACCACCCCCTTTAGGCCCCCAATTTTGTTGCGGTAGAAAAACGATACACCATATTTAGTAAGAAATGCTTATGTTTGGGTGAACTGGTTAAACAAAATAGATCTGGTCGCCTATGGCGTCATATCCTGTCAGTAATGTCAAATCTCTCTGGGATTACATGGATTACAAGAGAAATCATTCACATCAAGCGAAAGTTAAAACAGATGCTAAGATCACCTCGGCGTCTGGAAATTGAAATTAATCTTTGGAGCAGTGAGCTTAGGTGTAAAATTAATAAAGCTAAAGATGACTTTTTTTTCTGTAACTCTCGGTAATTTTCTGAGGGACGCACCATCTAAATTCTGGAGGTTTCTGTCTGGAAGCAAGTCCAATCTTATTCACGATAAGGAAAGAGGGACATTTAAGACAAACAGACAAGACAGGCTTTCGTTATTAATTCACGATAAGGAAAGAGGGACATTTAAGACAAACAGACAAGACAGGCTTTCGAAAGCCTGTCTTGTCTGTTTGTCTTAAATGTCCCTCTTTCCTTATCGTGAATTAATAACCAACACGCTCAACCATCTACATCCAATCTTATGTCGTTAACTATTAAAGGCTTACAGGTCACGGATACTAAAGCTATTTTCAATGAATTTATTAAATACTTCCAGCCAGTTTTCACAAAAAAAAAAAGACGCCCATCATGGTGTTCAGCCAGAAGGTTTCGCTTCATCAATGACGGATTTGAACGTATCCTCAAGAAGGCATATTTAATTTAGTACTTAACCTTGATGGTAAAAAGGCAAGTGGTTCAGATAGTATTCCCAACGCTCTTCTGCGTCGCTATGCTGAATGGGTCTCGCACTACTTGTGTGTCGTCTTTACTGCATCGTTATCACAATGTAAGCTTCCCTTCGACTGGAGAAATGCTCACGTCATTAATGCATTATCGCTGACGTCGACAAGTTGCAAATTGTTAGAGCACGTGGTCTGTCGG